TTACCGATGGTCCTATCGATGCTTTATACCAAACACTTGTAAAAACCAACGTCAATACTGATAAGGACTTTATTGCAACAATGATCAATACGAATGAAGTTCTATGGAAAATTTTTAGTGCACCGTGCTTTCTCTGAAATGCTTTAATATAGCCAAAAGGTTTTAGCTTCCATTTAAATAAATGATCACTCAGGGTTCACAACAAACAATGGGACGCAACTAATTATAATCAGAAGGGCAATTTATTCGACGCGTTTTTCGAAGACAGTTTTTAGTAAATAATACACATAGATTGACCCCCTAATGTCTCTTCTTTTAATCTCTCGTCTACTTATTGTTCATTGATGTCATGTATGACAATGATAATAAGTCTCGGCTTAGAGGTATTGACAGCTGATAATAATAATTATTATTATCAACAGTATCAGCAATACAGTTGACCCTCTTTATAGTCACACAGTCGGGAACAATGCAACTTTTGTCGAAAATGTGCTCATAAAGGGGTTGTGACTGTATAGAGGGGTTTTTCTATAAGTTCCATATTAATTGGTTTTCAAACATGGTGTGCTAATAAAGAGGTTTTTATATGATGTGCTTATAGAGAGGGTGACTATAAAGAGGTGCGACTATATATATATGTGTATGTATGTAATTGTGTTATTGAGGCAGAAGGAGAGCTACGATTTCTTACTTGAATGCATAAAATTACGCAATTTCGATATTCACGCGGGGATTAATAACGTTATACAATAGCAGAACTTGTATTTGCTATTATTTAATTAGAGACGTCTAAAACATCTTTGCTTAACAAAAAGAAGAACTCTGACACCAGTTTTTTGTTTAATGAGCTTAAGCAGTTGTTAACTACTAAGTATTAGTATATTTGTATTAATAATTAATTGTTTGTTGAAAATTTATTTATATTATTGCAACCGTATACAACAAGAATTGTAAGTCACAAGCTTTAGAGGGTTTGTAGTAAATAATTCCCAGACTCTATGGTAGAAGTCGCAGGGTTCTATATGTCACGTAATGTAGACATTACAGCGAGGATAATTGCTTTCCTTTATTATTTTGTTTAACAACAAAAAATCTCATACATTGTCTAAAATAATGAAAACTCTCGCGTTCTTCCTCCATGTAAGGAAAGGCTTTTTTTCGTTCTAATTTGACACAATCATTATTCTCTACTTATATCGAACGGAACTATACCATACAGTCAACCCTCTCTAAATGCACACCCTCCCGGAGTGTGCATTTAGAGAGGGATGCATTTACAGAGGGTCAGACTTTTATTGGTTACAAGTGATTTGATATACATTTAAAATGTTTATTCAATATTATCAAAAAATTTATTTATTCTTGTTTGCTTTATTTCATTCATTGACTTTAAACTAATGTAACGCTCAAGCACTCTCACATGTTTTAGCAACTCTTTAGAATTTTGTTGCTGCAGAAATAAACTAACAGTTTCTAAACCATTTGCAACATCATTAGCATAAACTATTGGTGGCTCAACACCATCATTAATATCACCATCATAAAAGTCACCTTCAACACTACAGATTTTTTAAGCATATTAATATATAATTAGTGATGGACAAAGATGAATTTAGGTTTAACAAAGTAATACTTTACACTTTCAGGTAATTCTTTATCTGGCTATCACTAAACTTAAGACAAAGATTCAGAAAAAGCTGCTTAATGATTACAATTCTCAGTCTAATAAAAATTAACTCTTGTTGAAACAGACAAGCAACGTTTATTAACTTAACTGGTGTAATTGGACCTTCTTTGTCAACATTAAATTTATCCAATCGTTAAAATGCTCTTTTTGTCATTTGCCTAACATTAAATTTAGAACATCCAATTATCTCCTAGACGTCAAATACACATCACGGGAGTGCATTTAAAGAGGGTAAGATACATATGGTGGGAATGGAAAAAACCGTGCAATGCATTTATGGAGGGTGTGCATTTATTTTTATTTCCAAGCTTGGGAATAGAGTAGGGCGTGCATTTAGAGAGGGTTGACTGTATTATTCGTGGACTCTATAATAAAAACATCTATTTTGTACTACATATTGCAGTAAAACCTTCACAAATGCAACCTCCATAAGTGCAATCCCTCTCTAAATGCAACCAACATTTTGCTCGATCCCAAGCTTGAGACTTAGTGAACAAAGACAACCCTCCTTTTTCTGTAATGCAGAGTTCCGTTCTAGTAGATTTATTCCCCAAGCGCAATTTACGTGTCAATACAATGTAGCTGTGGCACAGAGATTTGTTACATCGCGGCATTATTTGTTAGTATACTAATTATTCGAGTTTTATATGTGAAAAATACTATTTTTTTTTCAATGTTTTGACTTTATCCGTTTACAGTAACTTTGAGACAGATTGATTATTACTTCATAGATCTAATTGCGCAGAGAAAAGACTCTTTCAACGTATGGGATAGAAGCTGTTTGTTTATTTTACAATAGCTTTAAAATTAGCGGCAGAGCTTCAATTGTTTAACGTAGATATTGACCAAAAGTATAAAAATGATGGAATTTGAAGAGGGAAAATAAATCAAATGTTGCGCAATTAATCCAATAAAACTACTTAACTGATAAACAATAATTTAGACTTGTCAATCATAAAGAGGCTCAACTGGATTAAAGCTAATGAACGTCACGCTCCATTTCCCAAATTTAAAAGACAGTCATAAAGTTTAAATGAGGGCATTGCTAACACAATTCTTAGTTAACAGTTAGGGATCTTGATGGTCAAATTTTTTATGTAACTTTAACTGGAATTAAAGAAACATCTGTTTAATAGATTTAAAATAATAGTATATTTTTTTAATAAGGAAACTTCCATAAGTGCAACGTTGCACTGTCTCTCGGTCCCAGTTTACGGAGGGTTTACTGCATACGTAATAGTAATAGAGGCGCTCGAACTGAAATCTGCAGCACAAGTTTTTACTAATAAACTTAAATTGCTAACTCTCCACATTTTTTCACGATAAATTAACCGAGTAATCTTTTTTTTCTGCCAGCATGTTCGGTTGTTTCTCTTTTATTGTCATGTATTGTGGAAGAAAAAAAGGTTATGATACACACGTCCACGTTCCTTTTTTTTTTTTTAATAGCATTAGTGCAGGGTAAGATTTTTACAGGACAAAAAAACAGACTCTGAGGATGCGGCAGCTGTTAAAATTTACGCGTTGAAATTGTTTACAAGTTGAGTGGTTTTTTTTAAATTCGAAAAATTTACTTTTTAGTTTATTTTTTCTTAACAAACCGCATAATATAAAACCATAAACAGACTCGATAATTCAGTTGACATATGTAAGTTGCGATAAATATATACATTTGTCTAGGTCCCTAATCGATTATTGCATACACCCTTTAAATGCATATGCAATCGATTTTATAAATCTCGTATAGTATTCTAAACGCAACCATGTGACGTATTATAACGGTTTTCCTTGTGCTGTATAATAATGCATGTGCGATTGCAATTTCTCTCACATGCTATAAAACTATGTCTAATCCGTCTTTAACAGCCATTTTAATATGAAAAAGTTTCTTATTTGCCACTTCCTCAATTATTTCTTGTTTACAACAAAATAATCATCCAAACATTTTTGTACCATCACGTTTAACTGTTTACATCATTTAACAAGATCCTTTTGGGAGATATTTGCTTTTCAGAATTTTATTGTAAACATTTATCGGCAAAAGATATCTAATTAATTGATTTTGTACCATATCATGTGACTATCCTCTAAATGCATAATAATAACTCCTTTTTAATATATGTATATGTGTTGTCTCACGTGATATTCAGAGACACTCCCTTTGGTTATAGAGGTAACTAAATGCATAATAGTTGTTGCGACCCGTTCTTATTCTGGGAATTGATGCGTCTCTGCATAATATAACCCACATCTGATTGTATGCTATAATATGATTCACATCGCGATTGTACCTTAATAAGTATTTGGAACAATACTTTCTATTAATATTATATTAATAGAGTACTGTAGTCACATGGTCAACAAGCTATCTATTACTATAGTCACACCCTTTTGGCACAATGCAAATTTCGGAAAAGTGGGGATTATAGACAGAGGGGATTATAGAGAGAGTTTATTTCTTATGTTCTACTAAGCAAAATGGCAATGGGGTGATTTGGGAAAGTGTGACTATAGACAGAGTTTTCATATGGTGTGACTATAGTAATAGAGGAAGTGACTATAGACAGTAGTTGACAGTACTTGTTGGATATGTTGATGGGCTTATTAGAGTCTGGTTCACTTCTGAGCACGATTTTTAACAAGTTTCTGTTTTAATGGTGAGAAAAGTATAGTCTACAGATTATGTGATCCTGATACGGGGTCATAACATTATCCTCATAGAAGTTCGGTTAAACTTCTCTTTGTTCATTGTTCCATTTTCGGATACTCCAGTGTTTATTTTCCGCCGACGATCACGGGAAACGCGTGGGGTCATTTTGCTAGGTGCATCCGATACAAAGTTTATAATGTAAATGGATCCAAGTTATTTATTATGTCCGTCTTATTAACGAGTCTGGCAAGCTGTTCTACCTTTGTCTCACGTTAACTGTTTGGTATAGAAGGGGTTTAATAACGATTTCAAAAGCAATATAAAGGTTTCAACAGTATCCTTACAATTTGTAATATTAGAAAGTGGAACTCGATGTTGTGAAGTAATAGTCTTATTGTTTGCGTTATTCTGTCCCCGTAAATCAAGTTCTCTATTAGAACTAGTGTCTCCAAACGTGAATGGGTCCCCTTTCCGCAATTTACTAATCAAATTTAAATTTAATTTTGACTTAGTGTTAGCCATGGATATCAATCAAGAAATCTTTAACGTGCCTTCGGAGACTAGGTTCAGCATAATTTATTGCTGCCTTTTTGCGCGTTTGGATGCCATGTTCTAATCAGTTATTATTTCTAGATAAGCAACAGTTTCTTTGATGCAAAGCGATCAGTACACAACTATACCATCTTTGCTACTTTTTATCGGCTCTGGTCGACCTTCAGACATGTTGTCCAGTAATATTGGATGCTCTGCGTACATTGTATTTAAATCGTTTGGTCGCCTCACCACGGTTATTAGGTCGTCCACTGTAACGCGTGAATCAATCTTGGTTTGCGGTGAAATGTCATACGTAATGTTGAGTTGAGATGGAATATAGTTAAATTCTGTAGTTTGGGGTTGTAATGGAGTTGGTTCCTGTCTTTGCGTCGAACTGAAGAGTTGTAATTGAGTGGGGTGAAATGCATTGTTAATATTAGTATTCATATTCGCTTAATTTAAGTTACCATATCACATGCTCTTCGAATGTGGTTTGTTCTTCGGCGGTTTCGTTTATACTTGCTAGTAATCTCGCGTCATTTATGTATGAGGAGATCTGAAAGAGTTTATAATGAAGCTTAATTGTGGGTGCATTAACATATAAATACGTACATCTTTTGTATTTCATACCGGATTTTGAAGCTTCCTTTTCTCGGGCACCTTTTCTGTCCATTTATCCAAATTACTGTTTGCAATGGAACGATATCCTTGAGAAGTTGTTTAAAAATTTTCATAAAGCATTTGAGATATTATTAATTTAATGAAGTTCGGCTGGAATTGGAAATATGAGGGTTTTGCTCTAAACTTACTCCAAGAGTACGTGTCATTTTGGGAGCTCCTAATATCCTTATCGACCAACACATTTAAAGCGTCAACTGCATTGTGTAGTTTGTGCAATATGCTTGTGATTTCATCGCTGCTGGACTTTTGAGTTTTTCAAAATTAATATTACGAGTGAACTTATCTCATTGTTAGCTGCCGAGCGTATTTCGAGTAATTTACCTTCAACGTGTTTTGATAGAACTTATTACCGGCATCATTATCGGTTTTCAGTCTGTTGATCTCGGTCTTTAGTTGTGCTATAACGGCTCTTAGTTCGAAGTTTTCTGTGACAAGTTTTTGTATCTCTACTTCCGCCTTACGTAACCGAAGCGCATATAGCGTATTCGTTCTGGAAAACGTTCGTAATGCAGAAATAAATGCTAATAATTTTATATGAGTGATAACAGTTTCGCTACTGTTACCTGATTATAGCTTTGTTTTGTTTTATATGTTTCCTTTTGACTTATACGAGTGGACAGTGAAACGTGAACATGCATGTAGTTTATTGGAAAACCCTACAAGCGCATATTGACAAAACATGACATACATGACTCGAATGATTCCATGTGGGAAAGATAAGGTGTATACGCCTTAGTATACGCGTTTAACACACACATGTTATATTAATATTGACTGTTTCGCGAAATTTGATCTGTTGATCCGATACGTGACGTTAAAAATACATCATTTATCATGATTGTTGCTACGTATGTTATGTAGTTCTCAATAATCAAATTAATTGTCTTTCGAAACATTTATTGCAAACGTTGATTTTACCTATTATCGGTAAAATCAAGCCAAAAAAACGGATATCCATAAGTTTATTCTGGTAATAGTATCTTAAAAGTCATTACTATCTGCGGAATACGAATAATGGTAATATTAATGTCAAGTATTATAACTCACCATTGTGCCAGAAGTCTTTGATAGTTTCCGGCTACAATAAATCTCATCCTCCTACTGTTGTAATAGCAAAATAAATAAAAAAAATTCACCTTCCATATCATATTTAGTCGGTATTTCGCCAATTTAGCAATATCCCCAAGCGCTAGAGGAGGTACCATAATAGGCTTTGCCTGGCCCATTATTATTATATAAATTAAATTGTCTTTAGTCAAATTTGGAAATTGCAAATATAAATTGGGTAATTATATAGCAAAAAGGGTAATACACAGTCAGTCTCGATAAGTCGGCTAACAGTAGATCTTTGTACGCAGCAAGATGCTCGTTTTCGGCGCCTCAATATCGAAATCATGTGATCTAAGGTAATAATACTAATATAGGGTGCTCTCATCAGCTACCTCCCCTATCCAATTTGGTAGTCAAGGTTGCTAAAATTGGCTGTCACGGTAGGGGAGGTAGAGGGGAGGTAATTTACTCCCCCCAATGTAGGGGAGGTACCATAATTGGTAATTGTTTGTGACGTCTGCTTGTGATAACAAAATTTTCACATGTCATATTGTGTGACATTGACATTCTAATAAACACACGTATTAAAATTATTATCAAAGTACGTTTCGTCGCGTTATCTACCACTTCGCTCGATCATGAAACGATCATATTCAAACCAAAAAACAAGTGATGATGTCTTTATTTACATGTATAATCCATCGCTCGAGCCTACTTCTATTCCTAACATCGACCTCCCTACGCAATCATTAAACTGTACCACTGAAATCAACGAAGTTAATGAGATAAATCATCTTGAAAATTTTGTGAATGAGCATAATGATGGTAAGTATAAGTATTAAAAACGTAATTACAATGATAATAATAATAATAATCCCTAACATAGTTTAAAGTAGAATCTGGAATGGCAAATATCAAGCGACAAAAGCAATGGGGTCGGAATGAAACGTTAGCTTTGCTAGAGATAATAAAAAATTATTACAAAGCTCTTAATACTGCTAAGTCACCCAGATGGCAAACTATCTGTGAGCAATTTGACACGTTATACCCGAATAGGAGCGAAAAGGCTATAAGAAAAAGGTATTTGTACGGTACGCTATAATTTGTTACTATTGCGTTGGTTCAGTATAAGAATACTGAGCAACGTTTTATTAACAGGTGGGAGAAGCTTTTGGCGGACTATAAGAAAATGCAAGACAATAATCGGCGAACGGGTGCAGAGAGAATGGAGTTTGAATATCAAGAGGAAATTCAGGATATAGTCACTGACGATCCAGTGTTCAACGAAGTGTACGATTCAGCCAATAGGACTAGTATGTCGGAAAAGAAAAAAAGAGAAAAACGAAATGAAACGTTAGAGCTGATTGCACAGCTACAT